AAACAAGCAGAAATCTCAAAACGGAGCTGAAATAAAGCTGAAACAAAGCATAAGTATTAACATGACACATTAAATGATGTGGAAATTACAGAGCAGGGTCATAGTAACATCAACAGATAGTACTAGAATAATAGAGTTGGAAGAGAGAGGGTCTCTGCTTGACCTCAGGCCTATTAAGCTAATCAGAAACCTGAGAGGTAATGTAACTCTCTCTGTGTTGCTAACAATGTGTTGTATAGGGTGATGGATCAGAGGAGGAGAAATGAAACTATACTGCAGCTAAGCCTTGCCTCTTTCCCATAGGTGCATGACCCATAGCTCAGTCGCTTGGAATGCGCTAATTAGGAGACCAAAGTAAGGTGGTACTCCCTTGCACTCACAGCTTCATAGTGTCTCGCTACAAGGTCACACTGACTCTGGACTCTGTCTCTGGGAAAGTTTGTGTAGGCCTCTTTCAGCCTGAACCAAGGATTTTTGTTACAGAAATCAAAAGCAAGGAACCATTTTCCTTTACAGGCAGACTCTTTAGGCTTAGAGGTTACAGTGTTCTAAAAGATTCCCATTACATTGGAGTCTTTATTCAGGAAGTGAGTCCTTTGTCCGTTCTACATGGCATTAGCAGCCATAAAGATGGAGCTTAGGTGTCAGAGTTCCTTCCTCCGGATTGTCGTTGTTGTTCAGTTGCCCAGTCGAGTCCGACTCTTTGTGACCCCATCACGCCAGGCCCCCCTGTCTTCCATCCTCCTCCAGAGTTTGCTTAATTTCATGTTTGTTGCATCGATAACACTGTCTAACCATCTCATCCTTTGCCATCCCCTTTTTCGTTTACCTTCAGTCTTTCCCAGCATCAGGGTCTTCTCCAGTGAGTGCTCCCTTCTCATTTGGTGGCCGAAGTATTTGAGCTTCAGCTTCAGTATCTGGCCTTCCAGGGATTTCTTTTAGGATTTCTTTTAGGATTGACTGAATTGATCCCATGCAGTCTAAGGGACTCTCAAGAGTCTTCTACAGCACCATAATTCAAAAGCATCTATTCTTCGGCGCTCGGCCTTCCTTATGGTCCAGCTCTTGTAGCCATACATTACTACTGAGAATACCATTGCTTTGACCATATGGACTTTTGTTGGCAAGGTGATGTCTCTACTTATGCTGTCTAGGTTTGCCATCACTTTCCTCTCAAGGAGCAGGCGTCTTTTAATTTCATGGCTACAGTCACCATCTGCAGTGATCTTGAATCCTAGGAACGTGAATTCTGTCACTGCTCCATGACTCCCCCTTCTATTTGCCAACAAGTGATGGGGCTGGATGCCATGATCTTAGGGTTTTTAATGTTGAGTTTCAAGCGAGCTTTTGTGCTCTCCTCTTTCACTCTGAGCAAGAGGCTCTTAAGGTCCTCTTCACTTTCTGCCAAGGAGAGCCTGGCGGGAGATTGTCCATGGGGTCGCGAAGAGTCGGACTCGACTGTGCGACTGAACAACAACAATTAACACAGGCTGTAGTGGAAAGGGGCAGGCTCATATAGGGTTTGCTGCAAGTGGGACTTTCCTTCCAAGGATCCTTCCCTCCAATACATCCTCCTTATCTCCTGCTCCCTCCAGCCCTGGATAGGGCAAGGGCTGCCATCTCTCTGGTTCGAGGGCTTCACTAGGGAGGGCCTACAGTACCCTCCCTGTCTTCCCCTGAGTAGTTCCCTCTTCAGTCAGGGTGTGCCCTGATATATGACCAACTACAAGGCACGATGGAGCTGTGGTGGCTCAAGTGGTTAAGATGCTGAACTGCAGGCTGTGGAAGGTCGGTAGTTCAGCAGTTCGAGACCCGAGTTGCTGCATGACAGAGTGAGCTCCCGTCTCTAGTTCCAGCTCCTGCCAACCTAGCAGTTTGAAAGCAAGAAATTGCAAGTAGATAAATAGGTACCACTTTGGTGGGAAGGTAACAGCGTTCCGTGCGCCTTGGTGTTTAGTCATGCCGGCCGCATGACCACGGAAACATCTTCGGGCAGCGCTGGCTCTTTGGCTTTCAAACGGAGATGAGCACCGCAACCCTATAGTCGGACTGGACTGGCTTTCGAGCAAAGGAACCTTTACCTTTTTACCCTAAAAGCATCCAACAACATCTTTTAATATGTGCATAAAGTTAAGACAGCTAAAATTATTATTGTATACCCATTCTCTTCTTTTTCCAACATTTTATTCGGGGCGGGGGGTTATTAGCTGGGATCTTATTCTTCTCCTACTCTTCTCCCCCATTCAGTATAACTGAAATAAAACACCAAATTCTATTCCCCTCAAAACAAATTATTTTTCTGCCCAATGTAGTTAACTATCATTTGCTCTTCCCAGGTCGGTTCACGTTCTGAAGCCGATAAACTTATGGTAGTGTAAATGGTCATTCAAACGCGGGCTTCCGAATGGGTCTCCCTCAGGCATTTCCCTTTCTGTGGATTTCCCCCCTCCCCTCTTGTCGTGCGGCTGGCCCTTTAAATCACGGGGAAGAGGGGCGGTGCAGCCCTATAGTGCGAATTGTTGCAACTACCTGTTGGCCGGCTGCATCGTTCTTCCCTCCATATGGTAAGCTTTCCCCCTTGACGTGTGCTTTTGTTCTCTGCCCTTTCCCTTATTAGAAGTGCTGGCTTGCCTTTAAAAGAAATGTTCAAGGGGCTCGTCGAGCTTTGTGGGAGCGGTAAGAGTGCCTTTGTTTATTGCTGCGTCTACCGCTACGTTCCTCTTCGGTTGCAAACTGTCTAGGTAGCTGCGATAGTGGCTGGTAAAGAAATAGAATTGGCTTTTGAGGACTGAAGCCGACAATATTGTATGTGTCCCTGTTGCTATATGTTCTGCTCATGATATTGTGGGCTGGGATACCACTGTCTGGGGGCATGGTATCTGTGCCTTTAACCATTATTTATTTAGATATTTACACCCTGTTTTTCTCCCCCAATGGGAGAAAACAATAAGGTCATTCTCGTCTCCGTTATTTTCTCATCACAACAGTTTTGTGAGGTGGGATAGGCTGAGAGAGAGGGTGACTGGCCCAAGGTGTCTCAGCCACCTTCCGTGGACAACTGGGGATTCAAACATGTGGCTCCCAGATCCTAATCTAACACTTTTACCCACCACACCACAATGGCTCTTAGGCAGAATTGTTCTGATTCAAAGGTGGAATGATCGTCACATGTATGAATTCTGCCTGTAGTACTGGTGTTAAAGAAGTTGCATCTTTGCCAGTAGAAGGGGAAAATGGCACTCACAGTTGCTGTTTATGGTAAAGAGGTTCTTAGTCCAGAATATTTTGATCAGAGAATTTTTCTAGGAATGGTATAGCGTATGCAATGCCTAGTCTTTCTACACTTTCCCCTGGGACATCTAATTTCCTTGTATTTTAGACCCTCACAGCCTTGGAGTGTCCTGATAATCTTCCTGTAGGCTTTCACAGAAAAATTCTAAGGAATTAAAACTTTCCTACTCACAAAAGATGAATCCAGATATTTTTATACCATCGTATGGCTGTAAATTTGTAGACTGTAGAGTTTTATAATGTTAAATGTATTAGAATAAGCACCAATACAGTTTAAAAGAGGCTGAACACATCTAAAGAAGCACGGTTTCTGTTGCCAACCTTTTTGAACTTTAATCAACTTTTCCTCAAATAGGGAAGATAATATTTTTCCAGTGGTGGGGGAGCAAGTTAGCTGAGCATCTTTCCGTACAGTTTCATCTACCGTTTGGCCTTGTGTGGTGATAGTGCTGCAAGACTCTTTCACTGACAATTTGCATGTAATGGCTGCTCATTACAGTGCGGCTTGCCCATTTAAAAATGAAAATAAAGACCAAATATATTTCTTGAATGCAAGCAAGAGAAAGTGCACAGCCTGCAACAAATGAACCCTTGCCCTCTGAAACCAACATTCACCTCCTGTGATTTTAAAAAAGTATTGCTAGCTGAGGGTACCTGCACTGAAGTTGTGCAATGGGTAAACAGATAAGATTATAAACTTCAAAGTGGGTCTTGGAGTTCTCCTGGAATTACAGTGACCTCTGGACTACACTGCTCAGTTTCCCTGGAGGAAATGGAAATTTTGGAGTCTCCATGGCACCAGATTCCCACTGAGATCTCTCCGCTCCCAAAACACTGGCCCCAAATTTCCAAGAATTTTCTAAGCCAGAGTTGGCACCCTTAACAGATGATCTGATGAAATTGGGGTGGGGGGAATTCCTCCTCCCTGGTTCATAAATGTCAAGGGTGAGAAGGGTACTTACAATGACATCATAAGTAAAATCCAGTATGGAGATATGAATAGTAACATTCGGCACAGCGTTTGCAATGGTAATGAAAGCCCTCTGGAATGGGGGTGAGGAATTGCATTTTCCTACATTCCCCTTGCTCGAAAGCCAGTCGAATCCGACTAGGGTTGCGGTGCTCATCTCCGTTTCAAAGCCGAAGAGCCAGCGCTGTCCGAAGACGTTTCCGTGGTCATGTGGTCGGCATGACTAAACACCAAGGCGCACGGAACGCTGTTACCTTCCCACCAAAGTGGTACCTATTTATCTACTTGCAATTTCTTGCTTTTCATAAATGTCAAGGGTGAGAAGGGTACTTCCAATGACATCATAAGTAAAATCTAGTATGGAGATATGAATACGTAGTAACATTCGGCACAGCGTTTGCAATGGTAATGAAAGCCCTCTGGAATGGGGGTGAGGAATTGCATTTTCCCACATACCTTATCTTAATTGTGTACTGGTCAAATGCAATATCCATGTAGAGGAAGTGAAACCCTCATGGCTGAATGGGACAAATGAAAAGCAAGATCTGAATTTATTATGCAACAAACTGAGCATGCGGAAGACTCTTGAATGCCTTAACCTCATTAAAAGAAAACACTGGAAACATTCCTTCCTTGTTCCTCATGGTTTATCCAGGGCCGAATTCAAAATTCTGGAAACTACTGACTGGATTTTACTCTAAGTGCTGCTTTGCTAAATAACAGCTTGTCTTGTTCATAGGAACTTCATGAAGTGGATCATGGCCTCATCAGCCAGTTACTGATGGAGTCTGAGGAGAATCTCACCGTATGCACAGAGAAAATACCACCCCCCTCTCCATATAACTGGAGTACAGATTGGAGCTTTTGGGTAACTACGTAGATTTGTCTTAGTTTTTTACATGAGTTTTTGTTCAAGGACATCTGCTTTCTGCAACAATTTAAGCCAGGGGTGTCGAACTCATTTGTTATGAGGGCCGGATCTGACCATAAATGAGACCTTGTTCAGCCAGGCCATGTGTGTAATAAAATGTAATGCCAGGTAGCGGAGATATAAACTGTATAAAGGACACAACCCCAAAGGGTTTTTTTTAACTTAAAATAAAAACTTGCTTAAAACATCAGCACTCTTGCAATATTTTGTTTATTTAACAGTGTCTGATAACTGACACCTCTTGCTCTGAATTATTGCATCAAAATATCTTGTGCTGTTGCAATCTTGAGTATTTTGTTCAGGTGTGTATCTATAACCTGCAAACCTACAATGACGTAGTAGCAGCAGAACTAGAAGAAGCAGAAGACAGCCAGTTCCACTGTGGGCCTGATAGAAGCCCTCCAGGGGGAATAATCCGGGCCCTGGGCCACAAGTTTGACACCTCTGATTTAAGCCATTCTTCTCTCCCCTCCACTTTAGGGAATTTGTAATGATTACCTAGTGTGGGTATGCTAAATTATAGAGCAAGTGACTTCGGTGATGTATTTGATACTGAGGTCCTAACAACATGGTCCATTTTCTCTCTAAATTGTGCATGCACACGAAAGCTCATACCCTGAATAAACCTTTGCTGGTCTTAAGGGTGCCATTGGACTCTAAATTTGTTGTAGATTTTTTATTTAGACATTGATGTCTTGATTTGGGAGACGTGTTCTGGAGTTTTGAACTTTCTAGGCGTATGCAGGCCTGATTGGGTTTGAGATCATGGGGAGGAGCACCCCCCTCACCCTGCACACTGTTTTCCCAACCTGAAATGTTTTTGGGGATTATAATTTTGTCCCATTTGTAGCCCATCAGTACACTTGGGGTCCCCAAAGGGGGAAATAACTCACTGGGGCTGTTTTAGGTCAGGAAAATGACATGGGGAGAAGATCCTAAAGTCTTTCAGCCCATATACCACAGTTCCAATCTGATTTGGGCCTGCACATGCCAGGGGAGCACTGAACCTCAGACCATTTTGGGCTGCCAGGTCCTGTGTGGGGTCCTGCTGCTGCTCTGGTGGCTGGCAGGAGAGAGAAAAAAGATACTGATAATGATATTATTTGTTCAATGATATTTATTTGTCAGAGAAAGAGAGGTGGAAAGAAAGAATGAAAGAGGTGGAAAGAAAGAGAGAAAAGAGAGAAACAAAAAAGCAAATAGATGGTGAAGGGGAGGAAGGAAGGAAAGGGAGGTAGAAAGGTAGGAAGGAAGGAAGAAAATAAATGGAGGGAGGAGGGGGGAAGAGAAAGAGAAAGAGAGGTAGAAAGAAAGCAAATAAATGGGGAGGGAGGGAAGACAGCCAGTTCCACTGTCACCAGTGGAACTGGTAGAACATAGAGTTTCCCCCTCGGATGGTCGTGGCCCCGCCCCCAGCGTGAATCCGGCGTCATAACGTCACTTCCCGGTGATGCGCATGCCAGGGTGGGGTTCCCCCCGGGGCCCGATCCGCCGGCGGCGGGGAACGGGCCTCTGGGGTGGGGTTTTCCCCGCCCCCTGGGGGGACTTGGCAGCCCTAAAAGCAGTTGTAATTCTGAGTGATCTCCAGCCCTCACCTGGAGATTGGACACATTTTACCTCAGAACAGCAAACTGTTTAGAATGTTAGAGGCAAAAGCCAGTCAAGTCGCATATGCAAACGACCTCTGTGTTCTGACTGGCAAAGGCTAATGAGGCTGCATATGTAAATAACCACTGTGTTCTGACTGGCTATGGGGGGGAGAGGAACAGCAAACTGTTTAGAATGTTGGAGGCGAGACTCAAGCAATGCAGCCAGTGGATAGGGACAGATTCTGAGTGACACACCAGGGCACCAACCAATTCCGGAGCGTGTGGAATGTTCTAGAGAAGTGCCACCACCATTCGGCTTTTATATATAAGGGAGATAATTGTCAGAAAAAAACTTAACTTCTAGAACAATGTTGATGGCTTGTCAGAGACTTCATACTACAGAGATTGCTACTTTTTCTAATGTAGAAATTCTTCAGTCAGAGCCTAAATTTAACATGGCATCAGAAGTTCAGTACTGGGGAGAAACCTTATAACTGCCCTGTTTGAGAAAAGCTTCAGTAGAAAAAGACCATTTGGGTGGACATCATTTAGATCTTTAATTGTCCAGAGCTCTCAGACATAGTTTTTGTTGTTGTTTGCTGCTGATGGCTTTAAACTGATGTTTCACATTTTATTTTGTTCTCATCTGTTGAGATGTTAGTGATTTGATTGTGATTTTGACTGCTAGCCCTTTCGAGGCTCCCAGTGGATTGAAAATTAGGCTTAAAATGTTTTAATAGGTAGTGCATAGTGCATTCAAGTGGTTGGCCTGGGGTTTTCAATAGCAAAGTCTACTGACTGAGTCATACAGAACAATGATGAATAAAAAACACTTTCACCGATTTCACACAAGAGCTGTGCTGCGTTTGCGCCTCCCTTTGCCCTGCTTCTATTGGTCAATTTTGCACTCGAAGCAGTGCGGCTGCATTTTGACCTGCAGCTTTTCCCAATTTTTCCTTCGGTTTCATGATCCTCAAAAAACAGGATCATGAAACCATGGGGGAAATCGGGCGAAGCCGTGGGTCAAAATGCGGCTGCGCATTTTGCAATCGAGTGCATTCTGCAATCGAGTGGGAAATTGACCAATAGAAGTGGGGCAATGGGAGACGCGACCGCGGCGCAGCTCTTGTGTGAAATCGGTCTTTGTGTTTCTGTTTGCTGAAGTCTGCAGACTCTCTCAGCTTTATAAGAGTTCTACCTATAAGCAATTAAACAACAGGAGTCTGATCAACCAAGCAGTATTGCTGATCCTGTTAGGCCTGGGAGCATTATGAGAGCCATCCTTGATTACATTTCTTGAATTATTAATCATACTCCGGGCATGGGAAATCTGAGTCAGAAGTTAAATGTCTTGTCTCAAGTGATGCATTGAATCAGCTGCAGAGGTACAACTTAACCCCATGCAGGAATAGGACAGCTGGAAGCAAAAACTTTATTCCCTGCGTCTGAGTTCATCACTCCGAAACTTGATGACAACTTCTGTGCATTGCCAGGCCAGTCTCAATACCTCAGGAGCCCAATGACTGGCATAGGTGAAATCATACTGATTTGCCCAAGGGAGCTGCTTAAGGCTTTCACCTGTAGCTGCACAAAATAATGCATCTGCCATACTATTTTATTTTTTTTAGATGTGTCCTTAGCAGGCAATTTTTAAGGATGAGAGAACTGGGAGCAGTTCCCTTGGGCTTCATTCATACAAAGAAGGGGCCACATTAACCTTGACAAGCACTATCATGTTTCAGTGTTTATAATGATCAGATCTTTTTCTGTCCAAGGCAATAACGCCGGCCAATAAAAACACTTGCTGCCTCATCGCAGCAAGGAATGCTGAGTAAAAATTAAAATTTTAATTTAATTAATTCATACCCACCTTTGTTCTTCTCTTTTTCAGAATCCCAGTAACTTTATGAGTGTAAAAAACCCCTGAACGATGGTGGTGGTGGGAAATCCCATTTGCAGAACAAATGCTGTACTTTGCAAATAAATGTAATGTAGAAAACGGAAACAAAAAAAGTTGTAGGATATCTTAATGTCATACTGCTTTATTAGGTTCAGATGTCAAATGCTGATGGCTTGTGAAAAAATGATATGAATATCTATTGTTTCCAGCTGAAAGAAAAAACTGGTACAGGATGTAGTGAGAAGGAAAGGTCATTTCAAAGGAGAAATCTGCTTTTGGGTCTCACTGTCTTAAAAAGAACTGGATTGTGTTAATACCCATTTAGAAAAGGGAACAAAGGTTTTTATGCTTGCATGTTTGCCAATAAGAGTTCCTGAGGCAAAATACCAGGAAAAGACTCTGCAGGGAACATTGTTTTCAGCTAATCTGTATAATGGTACAGAAAGGTAAAGACACAGCATTAATTAAGTCCTAGTTGTTGGGCCAAATGCGCCTGTGAAGGTTGTCCATACAGACATAATTATACCTCTAGAGGTTTGTTTTATTATGATCGAGCCCCTTAAGTTGAAAAAGAACCTGGCTTGTTGCTAATTTTCCCAGGGCTTTTATTTCAGACTGCAACCTGGAAACAAAAAATAAATTGCTTGAAAATTTGCTAATGTTATTTAGGGAGAATAAGTGTGGACAAGCAAATATGACACTTTGTAGGTTTTTTCTTGTTTAAGAGCAGAAAATATTTCTGATGCTGCCTCCCTGGTAATACTTTTGTTTCTAACTCTCTAGATTGTCAATGCCTTAGGGGTTGATGAGGCTGGAGGTAGGACATGCAATGAATTTTGGTTAGCTGGAATTAATGAAGGGTGGATCTTACGGTTAGGTGATAAATCAAACCTCCCTTTTTGTGAAGGTTATTTGTGCCTCTAAAATTACTTAATAGTTCACTTTATCATAAAATGTTTTTGTTGTGTATTTATTGACTCCCACAGCAACTCACAGGAATCAAAACCTAGTACAAATAACAAGTGTGCAGTCTGAACAAGAGTCTAAGGTCGCCAACTGCAGTCTGAAATGTTCCTTGGGGAGAAGACTGCCACCTGAGCTCAGTTCAGGCAAAATGTCTGTGTGTGTGTTTGGGGGGGGAGGGGTTGGCTACCTCTGCCCTACCTGTAATGGCCTCATTCATAGGACTTGGAAACTAGAGGGGGAGAGGCACTCAGCTGGTGTTGGATCCAGACGTGAGTCAGCTTGCCACAATTTTGAATTTTTGTCCTCTTTCCAAGTTCCATGGTGGTCTGAGTCTAGGGTCGCCAACTGCAGGTTGGGAAGTTCCTGGGTATTTGGGGGTGGAGTCTGGGGAAGGTAAGGTTAGGGGAGGGGAAGGATTTCAGCAGGGAATAAGGTCATAGAGTCCACCCTCCAGATGGGGTTGCCAGGTCCCCTCGTTGATC